ACTTTTTATTAATTAAAAAAAAGGAAAAAAGACAAAATAAAAAGGTGACTTTTCAATCGTTTGCAAAATTCACGCCAAGGCTTCAACAATCGTCGAACAAGACTTTCCGCAACGATGACGTCCATCGCTAGAGGTCGTCCTTAATAATCGGTGTTATTTACGACATAGGACGACGAGTCGTGATTGTTGTAGAAGTGAAGGGATTGGAGGTGGGTGACTGGAGAAGAGAATGATTGGAGTTGGGCGTTGGCAACGATCTCTCATCTTTTTTCCTCTCCTTCTTTGGGAGAAGATCGACTGCCATCAGTCATGAAGAAATTGGGGAGAGACACAACATAGCTGAGATATCCATAACGAACAAAGGCTTGCCGTTAGGGACAAAATAGGAAACTCATTGTTTGGGCCATTTTAATTGGACTAGTTTAGTGTTGGGCTTTGTTCTAACCATTAAATAAAGTTATTGCATGGTTTTTGGTTAACATTCAAAGTTTTCAAACCATTTTCATTAGTTTTCCGTAAAAAAATGTGATTTTGCATCAAATCATAAAAAAGTTATCATATTGACAATAAACAATTATTTAATTATAAATAGTATATATATTTTATCACTATGTATTAAATTACATTCATCTACAAAAACACGCAGAGGAAATCATGTACGCCCGTGGGCACCCATTTGCTTGCACTTGATGCTTAGATTTTCATGGTTAATCTGCAAGCAATGATGATAAAAATAAGAAGTCTAACTATAATGCACAAATCCCAATATAAAGATTGTAAGCAATTTAACCAAAATACCTTTAACTTTGACAATTTTCTCATGGCAATACTTTTACTCCAGTTACTTTCGAATACTGAAAGATAAATAATTTGTCAAGTTTTAGGTACAAATTGTAATCATGTTTACAAAATTAAATAAAGAGATGTTTACCTTGGTCTTGTACTTCAACCTTTGAATTTTGAGACGGGTGTGTGATGCTTGTAAAACTGACAAAAAATGCCAATTTTATTTCTATTTGAAAATTGAATGCAATTTGAATTTATAGTATACTTCCGTATGAAAAATAAGAGAAGACTTACCGTATTTAGAAAAGTTGTTTGATCACTATTAATCTTTTTCCTGCATCCAAAAAATGTTTTTTTATTTTTATAATTTGAGATAATTAAGTTGTAGATTTTTTAATTTTATAATTTGAGATAATTAACATGAACGTATCTCCTCCATTTTAGGAGGAGATATTAATATAGAAGAAACAAAGGAACAATAGGAGGTGACATTATCTCAAAGCTGCAGTAGAAAATGATAATGGCATCAGAGGCCATAAGAAGATTGAAGCAAGCGATAATTCTTAATTGAGATTGAAGCCAATCAACCTTTAATGATAATGTAGTGATGACCTGGTGGAAGATATACGTTCAGTTTTCAAACGTGTATACTGTCAAGACCGTGGACATCTTCGCATGCATTTTCACATGAAACTCATATAGAGAATGCCACTAAAAATAAATAGGTAAGAAATGGTGTTGTACCTAATTTGTTGGACTTTATTCCAAATACGTATGATGTGAGGAGTTGTTGAAGGTTTTAATTCTTCTACAGCATTTTTCCTGCGCCACCTATATATATTGAAGGTATATATAAAGTTAGAATTTCTTATAACAAATTTAATAAAGAATTTAGAATCTTATAACAAATTTAATAAATATTAGAATACATACTGCTCATGCTTCTTCTTTTTCCACTCTTTGAGAATCAGTTGGCTTAGATCAGTAGTTTTTACTCCAACAGATATCTCCCACCCAGGTGTAAAAATAGAGACACGTCTGTTTGGGATCTTATCAATAGGTAGTTCCTTTTTCATTTTTTGTGGGTATTCTTGTAGATATCCTGAGAATTGAAAACAAAAAAGGAGAAGAAAGAATAAGAAAATTGAAATAAAAAGCACCAAGATTTCACAGAAGATGGATATGAATGGTTGACAAAAGCCTTTTGAGTCAAGAATCTCACCAAATTAATTCAAATAGCATCACATGTGAAGAAGGCAGAGCAAAAAAAAAAAGGGAGTATAAGATTTGGCCACATAATCGGAGGAGATCGGGAGTACATATAATAATACTGTAGCCACAACGGCAAAAATGGAAATATACGTGGGAACTGGGAAGTTACTGCTTAGTAGTGGGAGGACTTCACGGTTTTTTTTTTTAACTGACAACAACCTCTCCCCATTTTCTCCCACGTTGGTTCTTAATTTTTTTTTAATATAATTTTGTTAGATATTAATATCTCCTCCTAAAATGGAGGAGATACGTTCATGTTATTTTCTTTTCTTTTTTTTCCCTTTTTTTCGAATAAAACAAATTTTAATTCTCTGTTTAATATATCTCTCCTAAAATGGAGAGCAATTACGTTGTTTTTGTTTAATATAAATTTCTTAGATATTTTTTTAATATAATTTTGTTAGATTAATATTTTCTCTTAAAAATGGAGGAGAAGTTATTCCGTTTCTGTTGTTTTATTTGTTTTTTTTTTCTTTTTTCAATATAAAGTGAGAGCCTCAGTTTGGTGAAGCATTTTAAACCCCTAAAATACCCTTACTTCATAATAGAAAAAAGAACCAAATTATCCTAATATAATAAAGTATAATCGTGATATACGCAAATATGATGGGGTTAAATCATAATACACAATTTGTAGATGTTTGGCTGTGGACAATGTACGTGTGCATGCATATGAAGAATGATAGTTTACAACCATTAGATAAATGGGACCTACACTTTCTAAACAATTGTGACCCTTCGATAATTTATACTATTGTTTACATTCTTTCTTTCCGCAAAAAATAAAAAATAAAAAAAATAAAATAAAAAAGCACGATTGAAAACTACCCTAGACCCCATTCCAGAGTTTGCACGATGGAAACTAGACCTGACATTCGTGTCGTGTTTTTCGTGTTCGTGTCGTTTTCGTGTCATACCCGATATTTTAACGGGTCGTGTCGTGTAACACCCGTTAAAATAAACGGGTAAAATGACCAGACCCGAAATTGACCCGATAATATTAACATGTAATATGACCCGACCCATTACCCGTTAAGGAAAATATATTTTAAACCAATAAATAATCAAATGAAAAATATAATACTAAAAATAAGTATATGCATACCATATTATCACATTCAAAACATAAAAACGCATTTGTCTTTGAAGAATTACATATTTACATACCCAAAATAAGAGCATAATAAAAATAAAAAAAACATTAGAACATTACAAAATATCAAATGTTCAAAAGATTTGCAAAATTAAGGGAATTATGTTTCAAGGTTTGGAACCTTGCACATTTTCTTACAATCAAACTTTTCAATTTTCATCAATCACCATGAGAAACGGTATTGGAACTTTGGCTTGATATATTGTCTTCAAGAGTTATATTGATGATATTTTCAATGAGGCTTTCTACATTAGCATTCTCTTCTAATTTATCCTATGACTATTGTTTAAGTAAAGTATTTAATAGTTTTATAATTAATGTAGAACTATGAAAAATATAGAAAAAATATATATTTTGTCTTCTATTTTAAGGACATTAAATGTTATCAACATGTATCTAGAAATGAAATTACATGTCATATTTTCAGATTTTTTTAATAGTTTATGTTTTCCCATTTTATCTTCGTTGTTGTTTTAAAGGAAAAATAGTAAAAATTGTATGGGAGATTACTCACACATGTGCAAATTGGATGGAATATATGTTGCTCTCCCTATTTCACTTTTGTTTACGTATAAATATAAATCAAAAGATAAAAAGCTTCGTATCATGACCAAAGTGTACATCCTAAAATGAAATAAAAATGTACATAATGCATATAGATAAATGTGGAAAATAAGATAGGAGAGAGGGGGATGAAAATTGGAATGTGAACTGCCGGCTATGGTGGAATGGATGGGTTGAGGCAATTACTTTGGGCTTGAAATTTTTTTATATAAATTTTTAGTTTGGGCTTGGTATTTATATAAAACTAGCCTCTCTGCAAGCACTAACGTACGTGCGAGAGGTATTTTTGCATCACGGGCGCTATGCGCCCCACAAATGTGTTATTTTAAATATTCTTATATTTCTTAAGTGGTTATTTTATAAATTGTGGGTGTGTGTCCATCACAACAATTTCTCATTATTTTCAATCATCTCCAAAGAATTGCGTAAAAATTAATTGAATGCAAATATGTGATTAAAACTGAAAATGGAGAGAGAATGAAAATTGAAAACATGAATTACTAACCCAATAAAAATTTCGATTTTAGGAAAAGAATCTGTTTTGAGAAAAAAATTCACCCTAAAATTCATCACCATCTATTTGTATAAACAATGAAGAAGCAAAACTGAAGAGAACTGGTTGGATTAATTGGAACACTGCCAATTTCATTGATCCTTCTTCCCATGCGAATAAGAAATCAAATTGAGTATCTAATTATAGCTTTAAATGTAAACAAAAAAAAAGTATTAAAAGGCTAACTAAAACTATTAAAGCAAAGAACAACATTAATTTAAATTTTGAACAACCTGATTTCTGTATTTTTCTTCTTTGGTTCTGCAAAGATATGAAAAGATGAAAATCAACTTATTCCTTTTATTTGTTGCGTAACTTGCGTTACCAACATTCACAGAGAAAAATTCATGAAGGAAAACTACAATTTTGAAGTTAAATTGGGTTTTAATGAATAAATTTAGACAACATCTGTCCACAAACACAATGATCTCTAAGACATCAAATGATATGAATTACCAAGAACAGGAATAAAATGGGTTCTATCACAGTAATGAACAACAAATAAGGCAATAATTGTGCAAATGGTTCTCTGCAAGTGCAGGCTGTGCAGGCTGTGCAGGCCATGAGATTTAGTTGTGTACGTTCACAGCAACACCAATGGTTCTTCCATGCTTGAAAATATAGATGGATTACTTCCAAACAGAAATACATTGGCATCAGATACGTGTGAAATCAAAGCCATGCTTGCCACCCATTTGCTTGCACTTGATGCTTTAGATTTTCATGGTTAATCTGCAAGCAATGATGATAAAATAAGAAGTCTAACTATAATGCACAATCCCAAATATAAAGGTTGTAAGCAATTTAACCTAAATACCTTTAACTTTGACAATTTTATGATGGCAATACTTTTACTCCAGTTACTTTTAGAATACTGAAAGATAAATAATTTGTCAAATTTGAGGTAACAAATTGTAATCATGTTTACAAAATTAAATAGTAAGAAATGTTACCTTAATCTTGTACTTCAACCTTTGTACTTTGCGACGGGTGCGATGCTTGTAAAACTGACAAAAAAATGCAATTTTATTTCTATTTGAAAATTGAAAGCAATTTGAATTTCCAGTATACTTCCGTATGAAAATAAGAGAATACTTACCGTATTTAGAAAAGTTGTTTGGTCACTATTAATCTTTTTCCTGCACCCATAAATTGTTTTTTTTTATAATTCGAGATAATTAATTTGTAGAATGATATAGACAATGCCATTAAAAATAAATAGGTAAGAAATGGTGTTGTACCTAATTTGTTGGACTTTATTCCAAATTAGTATGATGCGAGGAGTTGTTGAAGGTTTTAATTCTTCTACAGCCTTTTTCATGCGCCACCTATATATTGAAGGTACATATAATGTTAGAATATTTTGTAACAAATTTATTAAAGAATTTAGAATACATACTTCTCATGCTTCTTCTTTTTTCCACTCTTTGAGAATCAGTTAGCTTAGATCAGTAGTTTTTACTCCGACATATATCTCCCAACCAGGTGTAAAAATAGAGACACATCTGTTTGGATCTTATCAATAGGTAGTTCCTTCTTTATTTTTTTGTGGGTATTCTTGTAAATATCCTGAGAATGAAAACAAATAATTTTTTTTAATTTCCATAGCACACGTATGGGACATCAAGATAATCAAAATTGAAACTCATAATCTAACCAAAATTTAAAAATCACACAATGGAAATTTCAAAGGAATAAGTTTAAAAAACTAAAATTGACTTAGAAATACTAAATACAAACTCATATATACATCCTGAAAGTTGCAGTAGACCGCATCAAATTCATCACCTAAAAGATAAACCATAAAAAAAACCTAAAAACTGAAATGGTAAATTTAGATTGAGATTTACCCAAGGTACTCAAACTTTTGAACTTTGGAGCCTAATAGAATCGTCTTAACCCTATAACAAAAAGGAGAGAGAAAGAATAAGAAAATTGAAATAAAAAGCACCAAGATTTTAACCACAAAAGCTATAGCATATACGTTTCAAAGGCGAAAACCTGTGGAAGTGAAAAGAAAGAAGCTTACACCCAGATTAATTTCCTTTTTACGCTTGGGGAGAGGGAGAGGGAGAGACAGAAGAATGGCAAAGCAAAAAAAGCGAAAAATTTGAAAAAAAATAGAAGAATGATGACTCGAACATTGCTTAAACCCGTTTTATCCCACGTTGGAGTGTGAGAGTCTGTAATACCAAGCAACAACTCTTGATAGCAGTTACATAACTGAGGGGAAAATTTGAACATTTGAATTTGGATATGGGAAAATGAGTAGAAACGGAAAAAATGGGATTTTACGAACTGGGAAGTTAGTGTTTGTAGTGGGTGAATTACACTCCTTTTTGAAAACTCACGGCAACCTCTACCCCTTTCTTTCTCCCACGTTGGTTTCGTATATATCTATATATAAATATATAATTTTTGTGAGATATTAATTCTTTTTATCTCATTTTTAAATTTCTTAGATTTTTTTTAAATATAATTTTGTTAGATTAATATTTTCTCCGAAAATAGAAGAGGAGTGGGTAGTTTTTGTTTCTACGGTTGTTCATGGTTCTAACACACTCACCACTGTTGAACGCAATATCATTTTTGCATTTATCTTCTGGTATGTGGGTAGTTTTTGTTTCTACGGTTGTTCATGGTTCTCTCTGAATTTGGAACTGATGACACCATTTTGAACATCTTGTTTCATTTGCCGTTTAGAAAATTTTTCCTTGGCTGAGCATATGAAAGGTATTGAAGTGAAATTTGTAAACTGTAAGTACCTGAATATGGGGAGTTACTGCTTGGTAGTGGATGGAAATTTTGATCTAACGGGAGTTGAAATTGATTAAATAAAAGAAATTCAAGGAGAGAAGAATGATAGGATAAGTAGGATTCTCCCATGTTGGTTGGTTTCTTATTTTTTAATATATTTTTGTGAAATATTAATATCTCTCCCTCCTAAAATAGAGGAGGCACGGGCCTTTTTTTTTTTTCCAAATAAAACAAATTTTGAATTTACAGTTTTATTTGAATGAGGTATCTGGAGAGGATTCTCAATCTTATAAACGTGGTGTTTTTAATTATTTAATGTTTTTTATTGATTTTTTATTATTAAGAGAGAAAATCATCCGGAATTATAGGTGGCAAGTGCATCGTGCAAATGGAGTGGAGTGAAATTCATCTGGTTTTAACTGTTTGTATTTACCATTTGTCTCTTTTTCCGCAAAACTTCTTCCCACGTGGCTTTAATCCAGTTTGTTTTTTTTTTATTATTTCAGTTTTTATTTTATTTTTTATGACAAAAT